CAGAACAACGTTATTGAGTAACGTTTAACCATATTATGGCATGGAGTAGTCAACCAACTCATTTGTAGGCTGAGACAGGGGTTGAATAGGCGAACCTGGCGACAAGAACATAATGACATTAAAGCAGACACTTCATACATGTATACATATAAAAAAAAAAAAAAAAAAAAAAAGAGAGAGAGAGAGAGAGAGAGAGAGAGAGAGAGAGAGAGAGAGAGAGAGGTTGGCTATTGCGGGCAAGAACGACGTTATTGAGTAACGTTTAACCATAATATAGCATGGAGTAGTCAACCGACTCATTCGTAGGCCAGAACATAATGACATTAAAGCAGACACTTCATACATGTATACATATATGCATATGAGAGAGAGAGAGAAAGAGAGAGGTTGGCTACTGCGGGCCAGAATGACGTTATAGATTAACGTTTAACCGTATTATGACACGCAGTAGTCAACCGACTCATTTATAGGCTGAGACAGGGGTTGAATAGGCGAACCTGGCGACAAGAACATAATGATATTAAAGCAGACACTTCCCCCATGTATACATATATGCATATGTGTGTGTGTGTGTGTGTGAGAGAGAGAGAGAGAGAGAGAGAGAGAGAGAGAGAGGAAAAAAAAAAAAAAAAAATGTACATCAAACTTCTTTAACGAGAAGTTCAGCCACGATTTTAGACCTCTTATAGAGTGCCCTTAGTCGGTCATTGATGTGGAGTCCTTTCTTGCAATGATGACAATCGATCGCCTGCGCACGACGATCTGCGTTAGCTACGACCTTCAACATCATCTCTTTTGCAAAAGAAATGAGATGGGATATATAGTCCGCCACGAGCCTTGCCATTTGTCGTTTATTCGCACTTGACACGAACTGTTCAAATATTTTCGTGGTCATAGGTACTGCCGACTCTTCATTGCTTTTCAACAGTGCTTTGTTGGCGAGGACGCAAGGGAAATTGTGTCGAATTTCGTGAGATTGAAAGGATTTGATATCGTTGCAGTCTAGCAGCAAGTGTGCCGATGACTCACATACACTTCGACCTGTGTTGCAATCGCATATCCGCATAGTGAGCTCATCTTTCCGGCTTGCATTCGCAACTTGTGCATTGTATGTTTTCAAGGTTTCTACGGGGTTCGGCGTTACAGACAATTGTCCCGATGCCAGACGATCTCTGATGTACTGAAGAGAACATACAATATCGGCGCAGCTGTTGAGCAGAGACCTCAAGTTCTCATTAAGGCCATCGCATCCCATATGTGCACCATCGGTCTGCAGGGGATGGTTAAGAGTGTAGTAGTCTATGGTCTCCGTGCAATGACGGATGCAGTCATCGGCAAAAGACAAGAGGTCTACAAGACTTTTCGACGAGGCTGTCAGCGGACCGTTGTTCAGATCCTCACTATCGTAAGACGCCCACCCTTCCCTGACCACACATTTGTCCGCAGAGGAACAACATGTGACATCCCATTCACAAGCGTTTTGTGCTCTGGCACCAAATGCAGTGTCCAAGTGAAGAAGAAGTTTTTTCCGATAGCATTTAAGATCAGCAACCATATTCTGGTACTCCTCAAACGTGCCCTTCTTCTCCTTAGCTATTTTTTGGAGTTCTTTGGTCATGCCCTCCCTCAGATCCGTCACAAGAGACTTCGGATCGGACATCAACAACCAGAATATGCTATACAATCTATGTTCCGCAGTTTTTGTCATTTTCGCGAGTGTAAGTTCCACACGAACTATCTTGTCTCGCGCCTGGGTCAACAACTGTTTCTGCTCGATTACTTTAGCTGTCAGTTTATCTATAACTTCTTGCTGCTTTTCAACTATCTCAGTCCAGCTTTCATCGATTAAAGCCTGTGTTTCATCTTTGCCCCCCCACGGTGCATATGGATCTGGTGATCGTTCGCATTCTATCTCTTCTCCTGCCTCCTGCCTTTCGTTTGTCTTCGACTTTCGACATTCTTGATATCTGGAAAGGCGGAAAGAAAGACACACACACACAGATATATAGATAGGTATATATATATATATATATATATATATATATATATATAGAGAGAGAGAGAGAGAGAGAGAGAGAGAGAAAGAGAGAGAGAGAAAGAGGGAGGGAGGGAGGTTGACTACTACGGGGCAGAATGGTGTTATTCAGTAAGGTTTGACCCTATTATGACACACAGTAGTCTATCGAGTAAGTCGTAGGGTGAGGCAGGGGTTGAAGAAGAAGTAGAAGAAGAAGAAGAAGAAGAAGA